ATTCTCAACTAATCATTTGCTTTTTCTATACAATGTTGCATTTGATTGAAGTCCATCAAATCAAGCTTTAAATTTTACTTAAGATCAAAATTATTCATGAACATCAAGAAAGTTGAATTTATCCATTTCTTCTTCTTATTATTATTATTTTCCATATATTAACACAAATTTTAGACATTTTCTGCATAATTTTCATGTGTTGGAGTACGTTGACATTTGCAAGTTTTTTCATGGTAATCAATTTACACATATTCAGAAACTTGTTGTTCTATGGTAACATTTATTATGACTCATCATGAATTTCATCATAAATAAAAATTTAAGGTTTTATTCAGAAAAAAAATAATTTGTACATAAGGAACCAAAAATTGAATACTCAAGATAAACGTTTAGAACTTTTATAATCTGAAAGTCACAAGAAATTTGTACTTATGATGTTGAAAATTTGTCCACTAAAAACTTAAATAATCATCAATACAATATGCATGTAATACTCTTTGTAAATGTGAAAGAGTAGGATAAAAAATCACACACCATTTTGTATCTATTCAAAAATTGTAAAGATTTTATAAATCTAATATGAAAATCAAATTGATGTTTCTAAAAAACACTCTGATAAACCATTAAAAAAAATTAAACCCTAATGTAAATATAACCTTTATTTTGTGAAGAGTAAACATGATCTTGTCATCATTGTGACGAAAGAATATGTAACACTAGTAGTTGTTTTTATTCTAGAACCTAGAAAAATATGTTTTGTACAAGTGTTGATCCTAGCACATATAATTTTTTTCTTAAAGATTTTTCTTAATTCTAACTTTGACTTCAAATAAAACATCAATGATTTCTTATTGATGATCATATGTGTCTTTAAATTTAAAATATTCTAAAGTCTTTCTTTCCGACACAAGGTTTTCTTTTGCCTCTTCCTCAATGAATCATATGTACTTTCTATCTGTTCTTTGCTAGTTATTCCGTAATCTCATGCTTTTAAAAATCACCATTTGTTTTCTTATTGTAATACTTCTCTGCTTATCAACATTCCTTTATGTCCTCTATCATGAGATGGTTATGATGAACTTCACTTTGAATGCTCTAAAGCCAATTTGCATGGCCTGCTTATTTTAGTAAACAGTAATTTCAAGATGAGAGATGTAAAATTAATTAAAGAACTCATTCAAGATGAAAAGTTTGGATAAATTAAAATTGTAATATAGTTTTAATAGTTCATAAAATTTTAAAGAATAGAAAAGTATGATTAAGCTTCTTTCAAGAAGCTTAAACTTTACAACTTTTCTCAGTCTTATATGTAATCTATGATATTGATTATAGAAATTAATTTTCATTTTTTCATGACAAGTCAATGAGCAACTTCATGTATTTTATATTCTGCGTTATACCTACTATTGCTCTAGCCATGTGTGCAAGATGAACAAATACAAGTCAAATAAAAGAAATGCATTCAAAACATTCAAAATAAAATTTATGTCTAAAGTTACATATATTTTATTCTTTAGTTTGTTGGTTTTTCAGACAATATCAAATACTTGTTAAGTGACGTTAAAGCTCATCATGGACAAGATTTGATATTGAATAAATGTATAATATACTATATATGAAAATTTAATGATTGATGCATAAAATGGAAATCTATTTTGTAGAAGTGTAAGGTCAACGAACTAGATAGCATAATAGAAAACCGAAGCAAAAAAAATTATTTGATTAAATAGATTTATCATTCAGATAAGATCCTAACTTAATACTTTAAATTTATTGTGATTTTTATTGTACTATTACATTTTTTTAGCAATTCAATTGAATGATATAAAGGTGAAGCATATTGAAAAAAAATTTTCTTGAATAGGTTTGGAAAACATTGCATTATAGTCCACGTTTTGTATACTAAGCACATGTACAATTTACTGGTAATTTTGTAATCTCTATATATAATTTTATTTTATACTCTTTTGACTATGATTTAATCGTAGTAAACCCTATTTTTCAGAAGAAAATAATGTTACATAAAAAATAAACTATTCATGTTAGTATCAGGGTTAGTCTATTGCTATATACGAGAGTCCGTGGTGACTATTTGAAATAAAAATTTTGGATTTTTGAGTAAGACATTTGTATTCACGTGTTTGTAGATTTCTTAGGGATGAATCATGTATTCTCTCTGTTGATTCTTCTTGTATTATGTATGCATTTATCGGCTATGTGAATTTTGCATTGGGGACTAACTTCTGATAGCAATAAATTATCCAAAGAATAAATAGTATACTAAAAAGTTTGTACTTCATAGAAGTCCTACTTACATAGATTATACGAACATTTTGGGCACATTTTCAATTGTTATCGCAATTGCATGAGCAGATGTAACCGACTAGATTGGATTTTATGCCTAAAATATACGTAGTAGCAAATCAGAAATAAAAAAAGTTGCGTGTCGTTTCTGAAAAAAATCTTTCAGTGAAGATTTGTTACTTGTTTTGGATATCACTGCGTTCTATAATATCAAGGTTACATTTATGCAGAGTTTATGCAACTACTGTACTTCATAGTGCATTTAGGGAAGAACTTCGTGGCGTGAAGATTTCTTAGATGTCATTTATCCGTATAGTTATGTAAGATGTAAACAAATTACAAAAAGAAATTAGGTTTGAGTAGAAACATAAACTGTAGGTAGAAAGTCTTGAGCAAATATTTTTTTCTACCCTTACACTACGGCTCTTCAATTCGCGACTCTAGTGAGAGTGTACAATCATGAATCCAAAGGAAGGCCATGTTGTGAAGACCACAAGCCAAACCAAGTTAGCCTCTCGTGCGGTGATCTCTTCCAAATTATCTAACGCAGAGCTTTCCATTCATTCTTTTGGGATACACACCTGATTACAAGCGGGGACAGCTCAACGTCCAAAATATGTAACTTTAGCATTTATGAAATAGCAGCTTCCAGATAACTATTTATATCATTCTCCAGTACTGGATTTTCCTTGTCGTCACCAGGAGAATGTTCTCGACAGAATCAGATCTCAATGAATCTTGTAAGGTCGCAATAGTGAAACAAAGTTTGGTAATCAAAACAATGTCAAACGGTGTGTCTGTAGGTGATATGTCCCAGCTGGTACTTTACAAGGCCGGTACAATATAATTTATTTTCTACTCTGAGTACTGATATCAGTCAATCAAATTTGTTTCCCATTTTGACGCACCCTACTTGATTAAAACGAGCTGCCTAGAATCTCAACGTGAATTTTCGAGGACTGCTCCCCGAGATTACAACTTTTGCATACAGTCGCACTGCATTATGGACAGTGCTTATTTTGCCGATATGCTCCGGCAATTAGGAACTCTCAAATCGATGTGGTAAACTCCACATTTTCCTTATCATGGCATATTTGCAGTTCTTATTCTAGACAGAATCCATGAAAATCTCTCTATGTGGCTGATCCTATTAACTTTTGAATTTGAATAAACTCTGGTCACTGCACTCTATTTGGCATGTCAATGACAAGAGATGATACTGGACTTTTCAATCCTCAAGCAAATCAATCACAAAAAGAACATTAATCAATAACGTGCCCGTTTATAGCTTTGACCGTCCTTGTGTGTTTGGTCTTTGAATCGTGCCTTCTTGTTCAAGAAGATTGTATAGAGTTGGATGTGGTAAATCGCAACTCTTTGGATGTGATAAATTTCAAGAGTTTTATACACCGCACTTCGGAGGTAGATTGTATGACACTGGATGCTGGTGCTCAGCAATTTCAAAAGACTATCCACCCTGGTCTCGTGCTGATAATGAAAATGTCTCCAGCCAGTCTTACTAATTCTATCATTAAAATCCTTCACATCTTTTCTTTCCACCGATACTGTGATTACGAATTTCGTGGAATGAGCTAAAGCTGGAGGATAAGCTGGTCATACCATGTCTCAATACAGCCTTCATTAATTCGATTCCTTGAAATGAATCGCACAAACAGTAGGGTGCACGATGGCGTCCTTGGAGCCTTTTGGATGTTTTCAATCACAGAGAAGGAGGCTCAATTTGACGGCATGAAGCACTTCCTCAGTTGAGAAGCCTATGCCACCTACCTTTGGTAATGAAGATTCTTTTTCAGGTATCACTTATTGATGCAAGCGGCTTCTAATGAAATTGACGAAAACGGTATCCAAATTTGATATTACATGTCCTCTCTTCTCCTCTTTTTCCCTTCTCTGATGAACACGATATTTGCCATCATGGCACGTTATACAACGCTGTGGACCGTGGAACGACTTTGACTGCAAAGAGGCCCATTCTCAGACATCGATCTGATAACCCGGTGCTTGCGTATACAGCATTCATGCAACGCTGAAATCAATGGAAGAGCCCAAGTGTCGCGTCTGACGCGTCGTATTCTTGAAGTAGGAACTAATGACGACTTTTTCAATTTGAGATGAAAGTCACGCTTGCACATTCGAGTATACTGACCTGACGGGAGCAAGCTATACTTCAGATATGATCTATTCTTTGCATTTGGGTAAGCGGGGCTTCAAAGTTCTATTCCTCGTCACTCTTAGCATGTGACATCCACATGGAAGTTATATAAAAATTGGAACGTCCTACTGTATCTTCATACTTGTAAGCTCCCTGAAATTGTATCATATTGACCACATTTATAGTCACAGCACGGAGTGAATCGCCGTCATTGATGTGGACTTAATCTCAAACACGTGGACTTCAGATATTGCTTTCGAAGTTGGTGGCATCAAGGCCGGTATTGAGATGCATGTAGTACGTGGTCATAGATCTGACCTCAAATCACAAGAATTCTAGCAGCCCTAACGAGAGAAATTCATAACGTAGTGGTTTCGACTGCGTCTGATCCGTCAATTTTTACTCCTTTGACAGTGATGGGAAAACTTCAGTGAAGATTCCCTTCGATTTTTTCGATGCGTTATCAGTATTCATGTCTTTCCGATATGTTTGCAACAGTACCTGCCCGAAAGAGGCCCAAGAACAGAATCTACTTTGTAGTCTTTTCAGAATCTACTTTCCACGAATGTTGTCTACTCAGCAGTCAAATTTAAGGACTTCTGCGCAGTAGTTCGTTCAATCCGATACATAAGCGATTGACATCCAGTGAAACATCGGGACTGTCAGGCCAGATAGAATGTCAGAAATGAAAACTTCGTCTGGATGTGAAACTGCAGCTGACGCTCACTGGTATTCGGTAGGCTCTACAGCGCTCAACTGGAGCATACTATCGATTTCCATGGTTTGTCTCCTGATCGTCATTTCATCCTCTGAATCGACAGAACCATTGTATTCTTACTTTCACTATACTGCGCCATGGCACGATGATGCAAGCAGTCTGGATGCCCCGGTTATGGATAAGCATGAGCTAAAGCGACTGAAGTCAGGGAAGGAGTTCGGTAAGTCACAGGTTTCAGCTGGCTACCAGGGACATATTGCTTCAAATCTGTCAAGGGTTTTTCCATGCCAGAGCAAATCTTTATCACAATTCTTCATTCAAAATATAGTAGTAATTCATAGTCAGATTCATAATTTGAGTCCCATTTTTCCACACACTTTCTCTGAACGCTGTTGACAATAGAGTACCCAAATCTGAGCCTCGCTGCGCATGCATATGTGAAATGCGCTTGAGATTCTTTGTTCGCTGATATATATACTATGCTTCTTCATCGTTCCCACTCGTGCCTAATACAGCTCCAGTTTGACTTCGCTTCTGCAGCAAGACTTCGACCAAACGGTCCTCATGACCCTGAGAGCTGGAACCGATGGTCGACACGGGCAGGCGAGTGGTACACTAATACTGCTTTGCAAGATGTAGATAGCAACTGGGAAGGTCGGAAACGAATGCATCAAAATCTGGCAAACGGATCTCTCTGGTGGGACGAGGATGCAGAAAATTACATTACTGCTGAGATACAGAAGAGCCAGTTTCCGGCTGACTGTCGAAAGACGCACTGGGTTGCTCATCGCTCTCACTTCGCAGGTGCGTGCATACCTTCTTATCCTTGATTTGATTCCGCAGGTGACGCACTCACTCTGACACGTGGTTGTCACTATAAACTCATGCTGTATTTTCGTGGTGGAATTTTCCTCTTCCAGGAATGTGCTCAAACTTGCACCAGATAGTCATCCCGCTTCTGATCGGAATGGAGAGGGGCTTCACGGTTCTGGATATCGATCGTGAGAAGAGCGATAACAATCCAACGTACTTCGGGTGCGAGGCTGGTGACAGGAATCTTCATTGTTTCTTCAATCTGACGTCTTGCAAGTCTGGAAATGATACATACCGAATTGAAAAGATCGATGCCTCGGAGATCGCCGACGATGTGCCCTGGGAAAAGGTTCTTATAGAAGAAGACGAGATCTTTCCTCCGGGTGAAGTCACGATAGTTCAGAATACGCATCACGGCTTTTGCACCGGTCCGTTTACATACGGTGACGCCTTCACCGCTGGCAAAGTGAGGCTTATACATGGCATGAGGAGAATGGGAATGGTCGGTGTACACGACGAAAGCGTGTGCCATCGGGATGGTATCGAGTCCAGGCGTATGGATTTTACTTTGGTATCGATTCTGAGCGCTTGGATGCTCAGTAAAACTGGTGAGCGTGTGAAAATAATTGCGGACGAAATCATGGCGCGATACTCAGACGAAAAAGGACGGCCAGCTTGGACTCCGCCTGTGCTGGGAATCCACATTCGGCAGACGGATAAGAAGGTATTTTCTACTTAAATTTTGGATTCTCCCTAGCCTTCTTATCCCCTTATTTACAGACTCATGTTCTGTACACAGATTTCGTATGTTTCTTGATAAATGGAAACGCTAATTTTGCTGTCAGTACACATCGTTCTCTAAGATTCTTGAGTGAACCTCGCACTGAGTATTCTGCCCCTTACTCTTGACTACAGGGTGAAGATCTATTCTATAAAATGAACAAGAGATACAGAAACGCCTCTGAATACGTTGGTCCCATGAGGAGGCTGGAAAAGGAATATGGATTCGAATGGCCAAGTGTTTTCCTAATTTCAGATTCTGGATCTGCACTTACTTTGGTAGCAGCAGAGATAAATGGTAATAGCTCTGATCTTCTCTCTAGGTACAACTCGAGTAGCGCTGCAAGAAAGGATGGAAAGAAATTGATCATGTATGATTGGACTTCAGATACTCATATCTACGAGAAGTATGGTGAACATGCAAAGATTCCGAGGGCCTTGAAAGTAGATTTGCAGGAACATTTTTTGGCTACGTTGTACATATTTCATCAAATATCAGATTACGCCATCGTCACTTATAGTTCGAACGTTGGTAGATACTTAGGCGAACTCATGGCTGCAAAGCATAGAATGGCCCATCCAGGAATGGAGGGGCCTTTCGTTTTATCCCTGGATCGCATTTGGAGTCACGATTGACTTTTTTCAAGATCATTCATGACGGAGCAGTCCTCTTCTCTAATAAAATGTTGTACCTTAGCTTTGTATATTGATTTCATCATTGCGAGCGTCTCTGGGACTATCGAAGCCAAGCTCTCCGACATCCGACATCCGACATCTTCCTGCTTATGGGATGGATAATCGGCGATGAAGAAAATAGAAAAATAAAATAGAAAATATGTCATCTATGTGTGTTTCCTGTAAATTGAAGATCATCAAACATGCTCAACCTGTACTTGTATCACACAGAGTATTCTCATATCTCATTTAAGACTTAGCAACTGTCATCTTCGCCTTCACATGTGCCGGTGGTAAGTAGAACACTGTGGTCACTTCAAATTCTGCTCAGAGTGAAATACCTTAGTCGACGTCGCAGTCGCGTTCTGTAGAGACTTCACGACTTCTGCGAGTGATTATGTGATTGAGTTTGACACACCCTACAGCTCAAGCTCTTACAAGCACGTCTCCCCCAGTCATTGTCGAAGCCTTCAATGCGAGTTTTCTAAATTGAAGAAATTCAGATGACGAAAACTCCTCGAGACTGCATGTGCGAACTGGACGAAATGAGCCGGGAAAGGAAGAAAAACTTGCTACGTCTACCGAGACGTCGATAGGAATCCACGCGGTGAAGACGTGCCTGATCATGTGCAAGTTACGTTCCTGGCCAGGATTCTTGGATGGAGACGATGCCCGATGACTCGGATAGGATTCCCTGGACTTAGGGTTCAAAGTCGATCATTCCGAAGACTCGAGAACTGAGTGGCAGGTCTGTATACGAAAACGGAACCTGTACATTTCCATTCTCAAACAAAGCAAACATGATCTAATCTTTGAAAACTTAAATCCAACTGGGCCTGATATTATAACCATTCAATAAATTTGGCTTACTCTTCTTGTTTCCAAAACTGTTTGTTCGTTCATTTACACTTCACAATTTGGAGATGTGCTCTAACTGTTCTCATATTACCAGCTTCTATAATCTGTTTATCGTCAAGCAATCTGCACTTTTCTGTTTTTTAATCGCATTCAAGCCTTCATTTATCTATTTAACAAATTTATTGACACTCTTACAACAGATTTATCCATGGTCCGTAAAGTAAGACAAGGGATATTAGGAAACTAGTTCGTACTTCACCCTTGGAGCATGATCTCCGTCGCCTCTTTTAGAATTTACTTTTTCATGTAAGTGGTGTATTTTCATCAGTTGATTATATGCAGTACCATGCAGAGCTAATTAATATGGAATGCAGACAAGTTATGGTGAGAGGAGAATAGAGGTTGACAAGTTTAGAGATTCGCTGTCTCCTTCTTCATTAATTAGGAATATCTTTTCGGTCATGTTGTATGCTTATACAAGCTTCTTTGTAGTCAACGTGTGGTAACACACTTTTTGTTTTTTTTGCAGAATTTAAACAATTTTAGAAAACTAGTACCAAAGCAGTGTTTGTAGCTAGAGAAGGGTACGCTAAATAGAGTGGATTGATGAGATCGTCACGAGGGCACCAAGAATCACGTAGTCGGATGTACCAACGCCAACGTCTTCGGCGCCTTCGGCAAAGACTCATTTTTGAGGTGTCTCTACTCACGCGCCTTTAGCGTATAAGGAAGCTACGCTTCCGGCGCAGACACCCCAGGAGGAGGTTTGGCTAAAGACGTCAGGAGAAGGGCCCGGACCTCTAAAGGCATCCGACCATGAGTGCGCCTTCGGCGAAGCGCCGCTAGCGCGGAAAGGGAAAACCTTCATAACAATCGGGATACACGGTAGATCCAGTTGGTTGAAGTTGCATTAGAAAGAGCTCGGGACGCTCGTTCTAACGAGTCCAAGAGCGCCGGAGATGGATCAGGAATGGAGAAGTTATGAGCGTCGGAAAACTCGTAGCCGGACATGCGCCGTTCGCGCTAGGGTTCACAGCCGGAAAGGATTCCCGTACGCCCTCGGCGATGCGCCTTCGGCGGAATCACGCGCTCACAGGAGGAAACCAACTCAGAGTCGGAAGCGCCCTTGGCGGCTGTTCATGGAAGGAAAGCGCCGGTCGGATGTACGCCTCCGACGTGGCGCTGACGGCCGGACGCGCTGGCATGAGTTGCGCTGACGGCTATGCGCTGGCAGCAACGGACGAGGCATAAAGGACAAAATAGGCGGTACGACTGCGCGCCGGCGTAATTCGCTCCGGCTGGATGTGCGCCTCCAGCAAGGCGCCGACGGATAATGAACGCACCAGCGGCGACACGCCTCCGGAGAAGGGCCGGGTTAGGAAAAGACAACAGGGCCGACGTATACCCTGCAGCGGACTCGAGTCCGGAAGGTGGCGGCGGCGGGAGAATTCAACGTTTAAGCATGCGAATGCGCGCAATGCGGGGACGTGAATTCGCGCATGCAAAGGGCGAACCGTTAAGCCGTATAGCCGGCTGCGTACGTTGCAACCAGTAAGAACGTTGGACGTTCTTGAAATCGGAGAAGAAAAGACTGCGCTCCAGTCTCATTCTCTCATTCTTGACTTTGCGATTTCCAGTTCCAAGATTACGCGCAAGGGCGGAGCGACCTGCAGTGAGAGTAGAGAGTGCGGAGACGAGTTGCACAAGGATCTTGGCGGACCTTGAAAGAATTGGGAGTAGCGATCTTGAACGAGCGCAGAGAGAGTGAGCAGTCCGTGCTTGAGTGGCAGACGCGCAGTGGCGATTGTGAGAGAGTGAGCGACAGGGAGAACGTTTGTGTGTGCAGGCAACGCAATGTCGAAGGTTCCCCAACTGCGAGTGTCTCCACTCAGGGTGCCGCAGATCGGTCTACGCGCATTTCAAGATGTGCTGACGAGGCTGAAGCTCGATTTTCTCCTCTGGGGGTGGAATTGGACGTGTCCGGAGATGGTGCGCGAGTACCTGCAAGAGAGACACAAGCCTTCTCGCGGATTTCGCCCACACCCAGAGAGATGGGAAATTTGCAATTGGGCGCAGGTGTTGGGCAGGTGTGCCGGCGAGGAAGGGGATCTCCTCTTCGAGGCCGAAAGCGTGAAAGTGTCCCAGGAGGAAGAAGTCTCTTACAATGAGCTCTTCAAGGTGGCTAGACATCCCAAGAACGGTTTCCGGACTCGGGATTACAAGGATCGATTGCGGAGAAATGTCGCGACAGCATTGCTGCAGATATTGCAGCCGACCAAGACCGCTTACATGCATGGTTGGCAGGTAGAGTTCGTGGAGCTAGTGTTGTCAGGAGCTCCGGTGCATTGGGCACGACTTCTGTGGAAGGTGACGCGCCAACATGCGCAAGAAGAGAGGGGAGGAACGCTCAATCATCTATCGCCTTACTTAATCGTGTTTTACCGGGCGATGGGATGTTTGACGAATGCTGAGAAAACTCGGTTTCCGCAGCTGAGTCGGTCTTATCCAGGTAGATATTCGAGGGAGGCCGAAGTAGACACGGATCCGGACGAGGAACCTGCCAGTACGCCTCCGGCTCCGGCTCCAGCCAGAGCAGCAGAAGAACGGCGAAGTGAGCGCATTCCGCGCAAGCGGAAGTGGGATGAGAGACCTGAGGACAGGCAGCCGGAAGTACCAGCTGCGCCGACTCGTGGTCGGCCCACCCCCGAGCCTCATAGTCGACCAAAACAGAGGGCACGCAGAATGCCAACTGTTACTGAGGAGACCAGGCGAACTCCGACCCGGCGGAATCTCACGCAGGAAGAGATAATTGCTCAGGTCCTAGGGAAGACGGCAGAAACCTCTGCACAGAAGGCACCACGGCCTTCGGGAGGAGATGGACGGACTGACGACCGGCCGACTGCGAGTCGGATGACTGAAGGTCGACAGACGGAAGGAAGGCCAACTGAACGGCGCGTTGAACCGGACAGCAGGCCGGAAGCGGAAGAGAGTTTGGCTGACGAGCCAACAATCCTCAGAGGGTCGTCTTCGGCGGAAGGCACTTCTGGAAGAACGCCACCAGCAAACAGGCCAAGTGGAGTCAAGACGCGCAGGGTGTATCCGACTCCCAGTCGGACAACTGCTGGTCGGCCGACTGCGAGTCGGACAACAGAGAGTCAGCCGGATTCGCCGACTGCGAGACGGATGGGGCCAACGACCAGTATGCGGACGCCTTCGGCGGACGCACCTTCAGCAAGGACACCTTCCGCGCAGATTGCGCCGGAAGGACAGGCAGCAAAAGCGGGCGGTGCAAGAGTGACAAAAGTCACTGCGGCGTCGACCCCTTCACAAACCGAAGATCGAGCCGGAACAGGGGCTCAAGCAGTGGGATCTCCCACTGCCCTGGATATTTTAGCAGGCAGTGGAGCAGCAGTCGCAGCAGAAGCTGCTGCGCGCCACAGTTCCAGGGAGTCGCCAAGGGATTCGGTGGCAACTGAGATCCTCGAGACTGAGGATGAGACGAGCTCGGAAGAGCAAGAAGAGGATTCGGTGCAGAAAACGCCAACAGGGGTGCTGTGCGAACAGATAGTTCCACTCCTGCGATATCTGGATCGCAAGACATCCAAATACGCAAGTGCCTTAAAACCGCAGTCTTATGTGGAGACAATCAGGCGAAGGACGAGGAGCAAGGTGGCAAGGTGGGCCTCTAGATGCGGAGTATATGTGGATAGGAACACCGCCCTCCGACAACACCTGGCGGTCACCCAGAAGCTGTACCAAGCCTTGCAGCAGCAGAAGGAGGATGCGGCGACGAAGAGTCAGGCGGAGGCCGAACTAATACGGGCAAAGATCGAGTCGGAACTGCAGGAGGAGCGGAGACAGAACAAAGTCCTAGCAGCCGAGCTTGCGCGCCAGACGCGCGCCTTAGAGGAAAGTCAACGAGCCCGCAAGGAGGATGAGGAGTTGTTGTGCAACTTGCAAACCGAGTGCTCGGATTTGAGGGCACAACGTGCGGATTTAGAAATGCAGCTGGCAGAGGTGGAGAGCAGCTGCAGGGCACGAGAAGAGTTGGCGGCACGGGTGACTCGTTGTCTAAACGGATACACCCATTGGGAGGTGGCAGCTCAAGAGAGGGTTACACTCCGGGAGTTCGAGCTTCGGGCGGCGGCATTGACGGAAGGTGACAGTCGGAGTCGGCGGCGAGTGGCGAGAAAATTAGAAACTTTCTTGTCGGGTGCGCGCGACACTATGGCGCACTTGCAGTCGGAAGTCACTGCAGCGCTCCGACGCCTGGGGTTACGCAGCCGGTCGGAAGACTGGCAAGGTAGAGACAGTAAGCGGAGCAGTCCGGCGCGAAGGAGGCG